AGTTGACTTAATAATAATGATTCTGGCAACATGTATACCCTCCGCTGACCCTCATTCTCTCTCTCCTCTCAATCTACAGATGGCTGTTCTTAACACAGCCTCACAAAGGAAAGGGAAAGAGGATGGGAAATTCTCAGCTTCCTGATGCTGAAAAAACGCCACCACTATGATTTTTACTCCACGGCAGACCACTCTAAAGTACCACTCTAAAGTACACACTGAATAACCATGAACTCCAGAAAGCCCACTACCCTAAGCACCAAGCCACATATTCTTCCAACTACAGATTAGAATTAACTCATCTTATGGAGCACATATGGCCACCAAGAAGGGTTCAGCCTGTCCCTAATGCCACAGTGCCATTTAAACATCAGCTCAGGCTGGGTGCAGCAGCTCACGCCTATAATCCCAGCACTTTGGGCGGCCAAGACAAGAGAATCACTTGAGCCCAGAAATTTGAGACCAGCCTGGGCAAAATGGTGAGACTCCGTCTCTATTTTCTTTCAAAAATCAGATCAATAGTTAGCTACGACACCTCAGGATTCTGGCATTCTAACTGAAGAAAACAAAGAGAACATTTTAGGACATGGAAAAAGGGCTCTGATCAAAGCCTCCTGAGGGTGGGGAGAGGAACAGAAGCTCTGCCCATGACTCTTGGTATCCCAGGATCGAGGGTCCACTGGTTTAACACAGGCCTACAGAGGAGAGACAGAAAACAGGCCACTGAACTTCCCTGACGCAAAGGAAGATTAGCCAGGCAGAGCCAGGAGGAAGCTTGGTAGGGGTGGCTCAGCAACATTCTGAAGACAGGTGAGAACCAGGAAGGCAGAACGAGACTAGCGGGCAGACAGAAATCAGGAAGGAGGAGTCTGGAAGCCAACTGTATATGGAGATCCCAATGTTGAAAAGCCTCACTTTCTTTATTGTCTATTTTTTTCTTCTTATCTTTCTCCCAGAGGGAGAGGGGCTGAGCACTGGGTAGGACTTGGTTCAACGGGCTTCACAGAGAGAGTGTCCTCTGAGGTGGGTTCCAATCCTGGGGGTGGGACCCCAGTCTAAAGCATAGCCTAGCAGGAAAAGCTCAAAGCTCAGACATGGATCAGAACAGATGCTCAAGGGTCCTGGCTTTGGCTATGGGAACATGGCAGGAGTCTAGTCTGAAATATGAGAGTAGATGGGATCTTGGCCAGGTTGGAGTAGCTCATGCCTATAATCCCAGCACTTTGGGAGGCGAAGGCAGGAGGATCCCTTAAGCCCTGGAGTTTGAGACCAGCTTGGGCAAGATGGTGAGACCCCCATGTCTATTTAAAAAAAAAAAAAAAAAAAATTAGATGGGATTTCATTGGTTTATTAAAGGAAAGAGGAAAAAAAAGAGTAGATGGCAGACTTGTAGCAAGGTTGACTTGCTGCTTTTCACTTGAGCAACCAAATTAACACTGCTTCTGATTTAACTGGTCTAGTCGAAAGTAATTTTTGTTTGTTTGTTTGTTTTTTTGAGACGGAGTCTCCCTTTGTCACCCAAGCCAGAATGCAGTGCTGAGATCTCGGCTCACTGCAACCTCCACCTCCTGGGTTCAAGCAATTCCCTGGCCTCAGCCTCCCAAGTAGTTGGGATTACAGATGCCCGCCACCACGCCCGGCTAACTTTTGTATTTTTAGTAGAGAAGGGGGTTTCATCATGTTGGCCAGGCTGGTCTCGAACTCCTGACCTCAAGCGATCAGACTGCCTCAGCCTCCCAAAGTGCTGGGATTACGGGCGTGAGTCACTGCGTCCAGCCTAAGGTAATTTTTTTTTAAGTAAAGTCCACAGAGCAGTAATAGGCTTGGTTTCACAGACTGGGATTAGAGTAAGTGACTAGAGTAAGTAAACACAACTGTGGCATGTAGAGAGACAAAGGTAGGGAAGGTTATGTCATTAATGTACCTCAAGTGTCACTAAAACCATGTCAGGGCTGCCTGAGTTACCAATGTCTGAGCTGAGATGCAAGGTCTGGTTCTGCAAACTTAGCCTTCCCCAGGTCAACCCCATCTAGATCAAGCCCCACACAGTCCTCCAATCTCTCAGGAAGAAAGAAAAGAGAAGAAAATAGAAGAAAAGAGAAGGGGAAGAGAGAAGAGAGAAGGGAGGGGATTGGGTTTTAAACACACATCTCCTGCCGTTAAGTCTCCATCTTTATTATTTCAGGTGCGTCCTCTAAAATTCCTTTACTCTTAAGAACAAGAAACTTTTCCTTGGGAATGCTAAAGGATTTTTGTGAATTGCTTTAAAATAGAGGAATGTAGTAAGACACATATCATAGGACTATATATTAACAATGATCCCTAGCATAATCAAGTTGCAAGATCTTAGATGAGGATAAGAGGAATTCACATATACTTAATGGGTTCAGCCACTGACAGAAGCCTCCTCTATGAAATAAGTTGCTTTAGGGGTCCCCCAGACTGCCCACATGTATATAGCTGTACTCATGGCTACATTTTTCACAGTGAATGGATATCAGCAATGGGAAAAGACCTCAAGTGTCACTAAAAGCACGTCAGGGCTGCCTGTAGAAACCCATGTACAGGCTTCCTTCTGTTCTCTCCCTCCTCTGAGGATATACATCAAGCTTGCTCCTTGCTACAGCAGCAAAAAAATTCAATACATGCATGCAAAGTTTGTGCCCAGGAAAGTCCATTAGAGAATCAGCACCCTCAGTTTTTAATTTAGGCACCACCAGCCTAGCAATGAGATTCCCAGAAGGAAATCAGGTACAACAAAAAAGTGATTGGTAAATGTTGCCAATGAGACTGAAGTACTTCCTAAAGTAAGAGGCATTAGGGAGCTGCCAACCTGTGGCTATGGCTGTGTTCCTTGCAAAATAAAATTTTTTTTTTTTTTTTGAGATGGAGTTTCGCTCTTGTCGCCCAGGCTGGAGTGCAATGGCGCAATCTTGGCTCACTGCAACCTCCACCTCTCAGGTTCAAGCGATTCTCCTGCCTCAGTCTCCCAAGTAGCTGGGATTACAGGCACGCACCACCATGCCCAGCTAATTTTGTATTTTTAGTAGAGACAGGGTTTCACCATGTTGGCCAGGCTGGTCGCGAACTCCAACCTCAAGTGATCCGCTTGTCTCGGCCTCCCAAAGTGCTGGGATTACAGGCATGAGCCACCACGCCCGACCATAAAATATAATCTTGACAACTGAAGCAGTTATTACTACAAAGCTAAGAATGTTGCAATTACAGAATGTTCTCAAGACTGGTGAACATGGCTGAAGAAGGCAAATTGAGCTCAAGGTGCCCTTTTCTGAGTTACTGATGGAAAGGGTGCTACCACTGCTGGAGCTGCAGGACCCGCTTCTCAAAGATCATCCAATTTCCTGCATTCTCTTCTCTCTTCTCCCAGAATCCAGCAATCAGACATAAGATATACTTGTTGGCTCTCCTGCTAAGAAGCGAATGTGCTGATTAGCTAGCATGAGTTTGATTTAATAAAACAGCACTATGCTCCATTAGTCAGACTACCTAATAACAGTGATCATACATTAGATACCCACATGCCTTTCTGTTGATCTTCACAATGTTTCCACTAAGTACTATCTTGTATTGACAGAAGATAGCAAAGTATCAGAGAAGGGAACTGACCTGTCTAGAGTCACACTAGTGCAAGAAAGTGATACAGGATTTAAATTCAGAGGTCCTATTTTCCAAACTCATGTCCTTTCCATTGCATTGCACTCCCTCTTTAGCTAGAAGTCAGGTTAGCACCAATTTGCCAGGACCTCCTCACCCTGAAGGTGCATGGTAAAATCAAATATGAGAACCGACAAGGCCAAGGACCAGGTCACTCTGCCAAAAGTGCCTAAAATAGCCTTTCAGCTTCACCCATCAGCAGAGAGCCACAAAACCACTCCCAACTGCAGCAGGCTTCTTTTACTGTCTTCTTATCTTGTCGGAAAACATCCTCTTTCCATTTGCCAAAAAGTTGAGTGGGAAAATAATTCCATCCTTTCGGGGCTAAACATTGTGCTGAGTCTCATCACACACTGGTGGGCAAACAAAGTTGACATTTACTGCTCACCCACTCTGTGCCCAGCCCCGTGAAGACGCTTTATGCTAGAACTCATTTAATTATCAAGAACAACCTCCAACCTCATCTTACAGGTAACGATACAGAAGCTCTAAAAGTTGAAGTAATTTACCCAAGAAGACACGGTAAGTGCCAGTGCAGGAAACAAATTTAGGTCTAACTCTAAAACCTGTCTCCTTCCAGATCTCGAGGCACCCCACTGAGTTGCCTTTCACCTTTCTCCCAAGATGAGGATTGCTCCGGCACGACTTCACCATTCTCTTCTGAAGCAATCCCGAGTTCACTTCTCTGCCCACTGACAGTTCACTCTCTCTTTCCTGCCACTGTCCCTTCTGCAAACGCACAATCTTTTACCCAATCTAACGCCCCCAGCCTCGTAGAATAACACTGCGCAGTTGGTTTACAGTGAGAAAGCACTTTCAACACAGTGTTTCGTCTTCTAACCACCGCAGTCCGGTGAAGCCGGCAAAGCAGATAAAAGCATCCCCATTTTAAGAGAAAGGCATTTTCCCAAGGTCGCCGAATAAAAAGCAGCTGAAATCGGAAGCAAAGCCCCAGGTCTTGACCCCTGGTCATCGGCTCATCCCACTGCTCCTCACTGACGCCCGCGATCCAGTCTCCACCCCCGCGATGTCACAAGATGCTCCCTGGGCCAGCAGCTCACGTTCCCCCTACCCCAATCCCACGACCTCCCACCTGCAGCGGCCCTGCAGGCCCCGCCGACCCCTCCCCCACGGTCCCTCTCTCTTCACCAGCCCCTCCCTCTGGGGCCTCCTTCCTCAGCTAGATCCCTCCTCTCAGACGCCCCCTCCCGCACAGGCTGCCTGCGAGCCCAGCCTCGGCCTCCCACCGACCTTCGTCCCGCCTCCACGCTTCGCCACCCCAGCCCCTCCTCCTGTCAGCCCGCGGCAGAGCCCGCCGACATTACCTTCTCCAAGGATGCTGGTCTCTGCACCGCCAGGGAGCGGGCCAGTGACAGGACCGTGTTGAAATAGAAACCCCGCGAGGCGCAGGAACCGGAGCCGCCGCCGCCGCCGCCGCCTCC